TTACAGAAGCATTGTTGGAGGTCTGCAGTATGTGACTATCTCAAGACCTGAAATCACATTTAGTGTGAATAAGGTTAGTCAATTTATGTCAGCTCCCTTAGATGGTCATTGAAAAGCTGTAAAAAGGATCCTTAGATATCTCAGTGGCACTCTTGATTATGGTTTACAAATCAACAAATCAAATCACCTTAATATCACAGGCTTTTCTGATTCTGATTGGGCAAGTGATTTAGATGATAGAAAATCAACAACTGGTTTTTGTGTCTTTCTGGGAAATAATCTTGTTTCATGGAAATCCAAAAAGCAAAACAGTGTTTCTAGATCCTCTACTGAATCTGAGTACAGGATTTTGGCTCATCTCACAGCAAAAATCATGTGGTTACAATCATTGATGAAGGAATTATCTATACCACAGCAGAAACCAGCTTGTGCTTGGGTTGATAATTTAAGCACGATTGCTCTAGCCACCAACCCTGTGCAGCATGCTAGGACAAAACACATTGAGATTGACATACATTTTGTTAGACAGCAAATAGCAATTGGCAGTCTGAGAGTGCAACATGTTCCATCCATTGATCAACTGGCAGATATCTTTACAAAGCCCTTGAGTTTACAATTCTTCACGAGGTTAAGAAGTAAGCTGAATATTTTGCAAAGACCTGGGTTCGAATTGAGGGGGAATGTTGGAAATCCTCAAGCACACGTGGCTTCATTTCCAGCCATTGATCATCATGAGCAAAGCATGCATGAAGAAAGGACACAAGACCTGTGTACCATGCACTCATCTCAGCCATTGGATCAATGTGGAAAGCAACAGCAACCCACAGCCTTTGGATCGAGTTCTAACGTGTGCATGAAGACAAAAGTATAGCTGTGTGAAAGAGAGCCGTTTGGCTGAGCAGTACTATGATCATTAGCCCCTAGGCATTCCCCTTTTGGATAGGGTTTTATCTTTGCTTTATATATGGCAGCACCTATGTTGCTCTCTCTGTAGAAAAACATGAATCATGCTATTATCCTTTGGTTTTTCATAAAATGATGTTAGCTATTTGCAGCAAGCTTTCCCTTCATCTTTTCATGGCTTTTATTGCTTTTTACATGATTTTCACAGTATTCTTCACTGATCGTTTTCATCATTTGGTTTGATAAACGGATAAACAGCCAAGCTAATATTAAAGAAAACAAAAAAGGCAGATGATCAATATGGTATTGATCAGTTTGTGCAAGATTATTTGGAAACTATTTCAACTTGGTACCTTATCGCTTATGTAGTTTGGGTCGTTTGGGTCGTCTGTGTAGCCACCCTCCATATCGAGTAATCCTCCCCAGGCTCCTTTACCGCCATAGCCGCCTTAAAAGGTGACGACATTTATATTCTGAGGTTGGTTCATGGGCTGAATCAAGTTATATCTTGCCATTGAAATTGAATCTCATAAATGAGCCTTTTGCTTAACAGAGGTCATACATACCTTAGTGCTAACGGTCATTTTATGTCACTAGAAATCGGAAAAGGAAAAGGAACAGAAAAGAATAATCACACTAACAGAAGAAAATACTAGAGTTTTAGTTTCATATCAAGAGGAGAATCAAAAGGTGCACCTTTTTTCGGTTGCCCGATTTTCCCACCATGCGACTGCCGTTGATTCTTGAGGGGGCTCCCGTGGGTCCCACCACCTGGCTTGCCTTTCCGAGATCTCGGGGACCGTGGTGACCTCGGGGACTTGGGGGAACTCGGTGATTTTGGCGACGGCTACCTGAAACGGCGAGACGGACAATGGGTCCGCGCTCTCCGAAGCCGATTGGTACTGCTCCTGATGCTCGCTCGACAATGGCTTATCGGCAAAATCCATTTATCCTAATGGAACTTTTGTTTTTTATGGAAATGGGGATAAGTAAAAGCCAGAGTAAGAACATAAATCCCTACTGACAGAGGCAAGAATGATTGAGAACTGATGGAGAGGAGCCCAATTCTTTTGTTATTTTGGCAGTGAACTTTTAAAGGAAGTGTTTTTGTAATATCCCGAGATATTATCAGTATAAATTACGTTTAATTCCGATATAGTAACGTTAGCGTTATTATTTTCGGAATTAAATTAAGTTCAGTCGGATTACCGAAATCTATT